ATGGTTCATGGGGTCACGAAGAGTCGGACACGACTTAACGACTAAACAACAACAAACAAAAATCAGAATTGTGCAGGCTATGTTTTTCCCTGTGACACTCTAAAGAAGTGAAAGTTGGGCTTGGAAGAAGCAGATAGAGTATTTACGGTTTTGAAACTTGATGTTGGAGAAGACTCCTGAGAATACCATGGATAGCCAAGAAAACAAACAAATGGATCACGGAACAAATCAAACCAGAGTTCTCATTTGATGCACAAATGACTAGGCTCACAGTATACTTTGGACACATTATGCAAAGATTTATCTGAGATGTCTGTAATGCTGGGGAAGTTGGAAGGAAAGAGAAGAGGACAACCAGCAGAAAGGTGGCTGGACTAAATTACAGTTGCAATGGGTGCATCATCAGAAGATCTGAAAGAGCACATTAGGGACAGATCATCTATGCAGTCATTAAGAGTTGATACCAACTTGATGGCACATAATCAGTAAATGTTGAATATATCAATGGGCATGCTTCTAAGCTACTTCTTAGAATGATCTTTAAATTAAAAGTTCTGATACAAGTAACAGCTTTTCCTTCAAACAGCATAGCTGCACTAAATCCAGTTTAATCCATATTGCATAGGTGATGTTAGTACTTCTACAAATTATTCTCCATGTTTGAGCAAAAAAAAAAACAGAACAGATGTTGAACCCTCTCTCCAATCTGTTTACTGAAGGGAGAGGGGAACAGCTTTAACAGGAAGCTTGCAGGCCAAATGGGAAAATGCCACAGCTGTATTTGGTCAATGGTCAGCATTTCCCCATTCCTTTATCAGCATATTTCTAGATTTAACCTAGTAATTAGCCCTCTATTAATTAACCCTTTATATCTCCTCTGCACCAAGGGATGCAAAATGCCATTTCGTACCTGGCAATCCCACCTTGCAATTTGCTTCAAAGATGAGGAAAGAAGCACTGCCATGGTTAAGAGTAAATACAGATGAATGCATTGGCTGGCTCATATTTCATACACATACAGGCTGTTTACTTAACACACTAACACAATGTTTGCATATCTATAATTAACAAATACACCATACTGTAACTGGTTGACTGAGCAATCCACAGGTGTCACCTCATCCCCGGCACCCTATTTGCAGTCCCAGAACAGTGGGCAGAGACAAACATGGGACGGCTCCTTTTTGTTTCTTCTTTTTAGAGGGATTAAGGAAGTCTGAGGCTTCTGCAAAGATTTGTCCTTTCCTATAAAAAAGCACACAACTACAAACTGGCCCAGAGGGCGAGAAGTATCTGTTTTTACTCAAGAGGCGCATCTGCCTACGAACCTGAGAGATTTTGCTCAACTGACATATCTCTTGCTGATAATACTATTTACTTTTAAATGATATAAACATTTCTTAAAGTTTTCTAAATGTCTGGTCAGTGTGTGTAATGGTACATGGGAATGACCTTGGGAGACAGGACAGCTTAGCCTGAATGTGGGCATTGCGAACATCTCAGAAGGGACCCTCCCTAGTTTCTGGGGCTGTAAAGGCAATGGGGGAGAAATGTACTTTCTGACTTGCAAGGTTCTATTAATGTAACCTTACAATAAAGAATTAGTTCATCTGGGCAAGCTTCCTGTCTGGGCTATCTCACAAAGCTGACAGTGTGGTATGTACATACATAGCAAAATTATATAGCAAAACACTTTGCAAATAGAAGATCTGAAGTTCAGCCCCTGACTTTTCTCATTTAAGAATCTCAGGAAGATCTAGAAAAAGATAACCGGTCAAGTCTTTGATAGAGAATGGCTTGAGATGGTCACACAATCTTGGTAATAGGATTCAAACATTGTGCTGTCAGACTTCACAAGAAAATCTAAGGACCAAGAATTAGTAATCTTTATTGTAGTAGGAAGTCACAACTAAAATAATTTCAGCAAGTGCAATTACTCAAGAAATAACTCAATTAATAGATATATCATTCAAACTTTATTGCATGTAGTTTTTTATTCTGACTCAGCTAGCAGGCCACTTGGCCACCTCTTTTGAATGGGTTGAGTTGTTTCCATGTCTTTATAATGGTCAGATTTGTCCATTATTACCAACAGTGTGAAAACTCTTACACTAAGCCATAATGTGGTTTAATTGGATTTAGCAGCAATGTCATTATGGTTTAGTGATAAATGATCCTAACCCTCATTGATATTACTGGAGATTATTTCAGAATAGGTATGTACAGGTTTGTGCTATCTCAGTGACCAAAGCTGACCAATGATAAATGAAATTAACTATCAGACTTCTGTTTTGCAGCAGATTAGTAGGTCATACTTTTATACCTGTTTTAACAACAAGCAGCAACAAAATAACTCTCAATCCAAGTTATGCTGCTGACATAACCAAACTCTGGGATAATCAGAAGTTAATGTTCATGTGTAAGGATTGTGAACTCCATTAATTCTAAGTGCATGTCTGCTGTACCAGACTGCTGAGTTCTGGTACTCAGAAAGAAATGTTATTTCTTTCCATTCCATTCCATTCCATTCCATTTCATCCATCCATCACCTTGGAGAAAAGCAGAGAGGAAATGGTTGTAACATTCCTGACAATGCAAGAAGCTTGAAGGAATGGCTATAGTGTAATTGCTCTCCATGACAGCATTAATCTTCAAAACCTAACACTCCAAGAAGAGCACTGCAGAATTTCCCCTATATGGCACTGGCCTTCTCAAGCAACCTGAGACCATAAGAACTGTGTTGATGTGGTTCCTGCAATGCAAAAGAAAAGTCAGTCTTAGATTCTTTTGGGAACAATTTACAAGGTTCTGAAAGCAAACACATTTTTAAAGAAGCAAAGATGAAAACTGCATGTATTTTATTGAAATATTTTAAGTTATGAAATAACAATAATGCTACTCCCAACACTTGCTCATGAAATGTGGTTTTACTGCCACTACAATTATTTAATACAATGCAGTGCTTGTACCATGTAACAGACATCACAGTTACCATACATTTAAAAAACAAATAATAATTTTCCAAACATTACTACACAATGCAAAGTATTATATATTGTAAAATACAAAATCTTTTCAGAATACCCTCTGTTACTTGAGTTAAACACGCTAATAATGACTTTATACTGAGTTGCTTAACTGTTAAATCATATTAGGGGCTTAGAATTTAAAATGCTTATTGGTGTCATCTACATTGATCACCTACTACAATGATATTTTGAAAATATAGATGTGATAAAGATTTACACAACAAACTTAAGAGTTTCACAAAAACATTTAACCACACATGAAAATCATGTGCTTAACAACTTATATTACAGTATCTCCAAATTATCTTATATTTCTAATTATCTCCTTTAAAAAAAAACTGTTTAACTAACCTGTTTCCCATAAGCATCCATTTCAATCAAATGAGTCATTATGTGATCATTATTCGTGTTGCAAAGCAAAAGACTGCTGCACAAGAGCAAAGGCTGTTTCTACATAAATAGCAGAATGTAATGAGAAAATGAACTGTACCAGTTCAGTCTGTAGATGGAAATTACATTATGAAATTTATGTTTTGTTGTAAGATCCCTACAGAAGAGCCAGGCCATCCAGGAATAAAAATCTAGACTAGACATTTCACTGCTGAGCTCTTTTTCTATTTGCAGGCAAATTATTTTTATTATTAATCAAACGGGGAAGGTTTCAAAAGTAGAACATCCATATCAAGCACTGCAGGTCATTCTAGCACTTCATTTGCACTGGCTCCATTGTACACTCTTTCACGTGCCATGTTCAATTGAGAAATCTAACATTCAGCCATACCTTATCACTTAAGGAAAAGTAATGGTATCCAGGCATTCACCCCCAAAACTTTTATTTGACAGCAGAAATAGAGATCCAATATAATGCAATGTTACAATGCATTCATGTAAATTCATAATTTCAGTTCAGAGAACTGTATTAATTGTATTACTTACTTTTCAAATGAAGGTCTGAAGTGAAATTGCCAGATCTAATTATAGTACTTTTAAATATAAAATTAAGAAAAACAAATGCTAGACTTCTATTACCTTATGTTATACATGTATCTCCATTTACACTGTTAACATGCTTCTCTAATCTGAAACACAGACAAGCTTAATTTAAAAGAGCTTTTCAAAACTTGAGTTGCAGTGCCTTCCTATCAATCTTGGTTCCTCAAAACATATTGTTTGAAGAATATATGAGAATGGTTGTCCTCAAATAAAATCTGGGTGCTATAAAAACAGCACCAAACAGTGCCCAAGAAAATAATTAGGTGAGTAATAGCAGCCAAATCTAATTCATGTTAACATTCAAACCAATATAAAAAAAAAATTGAAAAACTTAATCCTATCCCAAGGGCAGATTTGCCATGCAAGCATTGAGTTGCTTGCAACTTTACTTCGGTTTCCACTCATGTACTTCCCCATGCTCCTTTCCTCCTACACTAAAATCCACCTTGGAAATTTGGGAGTGGGGCGAATGAGTTGCACAGGTGGAATGGAAAATCTGATTGACCAGCATGTCCATTCTTCTGGCAGACTGACACAACTGCACTGCAATACCTACAGAAGTAGAAATGAGTAGAGAAAGGCCTTCCCTTCCAACTCCATTGCAAAGCACAAGACAGACCTGTGTGCATTTTAAGCCAGTATAAAATTACATTAGCAACAGTCTCTTGCTGTTCCAAGGGTTTGGAGCAAAGGCCCAATGACAATTCTGTCTGAAAAAGAAAAAAAATTGGTGTAGCAACAGAGAATGATGCTAATTTACACCAAGAGAGTGAGCTTAGGTTCAAATTGTATTGGACTCTAAGTTAACAGAAATTGATCTAGACTAAATAAAGTTTCTTTAATGTTAGCAAATTTTAAAGAGTTCTGCTTATTAAAGCATAGACCAAAAGAACACAGCAAGACCTCTTATTAATCAATTATCTTACATTTCAGGTAAGTTTTGGAAAATTTTGTTCTTATTTTGTGCTCATAAAAAACTGCTATAAAGAAAAACACATTAATCTTCTTCAGATACTGACTGGTTACTATTTCTCTGATAGAAACTTCTAGAGCGAGAACTGGAGTTGGCATGTTTCCGTGGAGATTTAGACAGGGATCTGGTAACTGAGCCTGAGCGCTTTGGATGTGAGCGTGACTTTGTCCTTGAAGTAGAACGTCTTCGGTGGGAACTGGATGGTGACTTCTCTGCGTACTTTGAACTCCTCTGTGTTGACTTTGACCGTGACCTTCCCCTAGAGGTAGAATTTCTTTGAGGTGTGACTGATCGTCTTGGTGAGCTGGAATGCCTTGGAAGAGATTTTGAGCGAGACTTAGATTGACTATAAGAATGTCGTCTACGTCTTGACCTGCAAATCATCCAAAGTATTAGATCTTTGTTTGATCCAAACAATTTGATTTGGTCAATGTATTTGTCTGAGGTATTTTAATTGATTGTTTTAAGTAGACTATACACCCAAAGTCCCCAGATCTTTTTTTAAACTAAAGAAACTAGTTAGGACATTTTAAAAAGAAAGATTTAAATCAACCTCAGAAAGTTAATATGGATGGACTTTCCTTACACAACTTGCCTAAATTGTTTAGCCTTCTGCTATAACCAAATACAGTGGGGCAAAAAAGTATTTAGTCAGCCACCAATTGTGCAAGTTCTCCCACTTAAAAAGATGAGAGAGGCCTGTAATTTTCATCATAGGTATACCTCAACTATGAGACAACTTGCCTAAATTGTTTAGCCTTCTGCTATAACCAAATACAGTGGGGCAAAAAAGTATTTAGTCAGCCACCAATTGTGCAAGTTCTCCCACTTAAAAAGATGAGAGAGGCCTGTAATTTTCATCATCGGTATACCTCAACTATGAGAGACAAAATGGGGGGAAAAATCCAGAAAATCACATTGTCTGATTTTTAAAGAATTTATTTGCAAATCATGGTGGAAAATAAGTATTTGGTCAACAACTTGCCTAAATTGTTTAGCCTTCTGCTATAACCAAATACAGTGGGGCAAAAAAGTATTTAGTCAGCCACCAATTGTGCAAGTTCTCCCACTTAAAAAGATGAGAGAGGCCTGTAATTTTCATCATCGGTATACCTCAACTATGAGAGACAAAATGGGGGGAAAAATCCAGAAAATCACATTGTCTGATTTTTAAAGAATTTATTTGCAAATCATGGTGGAAAATAAGTATTTGGTCAACAACTTGCCTAAATTGTTTAGCCTTCTGCTATAACCAAATACAGTGGGGCAAAAAAGTATTTAGTCAGCCACCAATTGTGCAAGTTCTCCCACTTAAAAAGATGAGAGAGGCCTGTAATTTTCATCATCGGTATACCTCAACTATGAGAGACAAAATGGGGGGAAAAATCCAGAAAATCACATTGTCTGATTTTTAAAGAATTTATTTGCAAATCATGGTGGAAAATAAGTATTTGGTCAACAACTTGCCTAAATTGTTTAGCCTTCTGCTATAACCAAATACAGTGGGGCAAAAAAGTATTTAGTCAGCCACCAATTGTGCAAGTTCTCCCACTTAAAAAGATGAGAGAGGCCTGTAATTTTCATCATCGGTATACCTCAACTATGAGAGACAAAATGGGGGGAAAAATCCAGAAAATCACATTGTCTGATTTTTAAAGAATTTATTTGCAAATCATGGTGGAAAATAAGCAAATAAATTCTTTAAAAATCAGACAATGTGATTTTCTGGATTTTTTCCCCCATTTTGTCTCTCATAGTTGAGGTATACCGATGATGAAAATTACAGGCCTCTCTCATCTTTTTAAGTGGGAGAACTTGCACAATTGGTGGCTGACTAAATACCTTTTTGCCCCACTGTACATTCAGAATTGTATAATCAGCATTTACAATTATTATGATTATTGTATCAAACAAAATTCATTGGTTTTAATAAAGCTTTATTATTCAAAACTGATGCAACAAGACCACTAGGAGACAGCATCCAAAGCAGTTAAGCCAATGCTTCGAAGTTAAATATAAGAATTTTTAGATAGTCTAACTCTATTCTCCAGTCCTAGTGTTCAAATTATTTTTTTAACAAGCCGGATTTAGTAAACCTATGCATAAACAGGATATCGTCATTCATTCAATGGTGGTATTTCTATGCCACTCTATTCCAAAGTGACTTTGAGTGGCATTTCTTTTCCTTCATTGGTTATCATCTTTGCCAGTTATATTCTCCTGAAGCAGTTTGTGCAAATTGAATCATGCCCAATAATAAACTTCCCACTTTATGAAATAGCATTTTTTTTACACTGGTTGATATTTAAATTAACTTACTCTTTAAAGCTGTCAGAGTGTCTTCTATTCCAGCCCCATGATGAACTTCGGCTACGTGTCCTCCTTCGGCTGCGGCTTCTTGATCTTCTATAATCCATTGGAGAACACTGGCGACGTTCTTTTGACTTCATCTGACCTGGGGCTAGAAATTAAAACAAAAACTGGGCGAATGCAAGGAAACAGAATTTTCTTACATTGTGAGCATGCTATTACTTTTACATATTAATAAATTGTCCCTCTAGTCTGTGAATGTCATGATTTTTGTGCTTGTATCATTCTAAACAATATGAAAATCTACTTTCTTAAATAAATATTTGCAGAATAAGTAAGTGATGTGTTTATATTCACTTACTTTTGCGATCCCCTTGTGCAAACTGTATTTCAATTTGCCGGCCACATACCCACTTTCTATTGAGGTTATAAAGAGCATCTTCTGCATCACGAACATCTTCAAACATGACTGTCTGTTAAGGACACTTTAAACATGCACAAAGCAAAAAGTTGTATCATATAGCATAGACCACATACTCAAATGTCTTTAAAATAAATTGTCTTATTTTTATATTCTACATAAAACATAACTGTTGCATACTTTATGTGGTCTCTTGATTATACCAATATTTCATAAAGGCATATGATAAGAAATATGCAAAGTATGAAAGGAAGACCACACCCCCATTCAGGGAAAAGGATCAGTGGCCACAGTTCACTTTCATGTGTTCACTGCATGTTTCAAAACAGCATAGGCTTTGCATTACATCAAGTTCAAGCATCTACCAGGGCCCCAAAATAGACAAAAAATCTCACTATCTTACCATGTAATCATTCTAATTTTGCATAAGTATGCAAAAATTAGTATGTGGATTTTATTTGCAACTGGGTTACAAGGTTGGTGGATATTTGTCTTGGGACTTCAAAATCCTGGTCAGCTATGTTTGGAAATGTACATCTCCCTTCACACTTTGGCTATATTCACATATCGCACTTAGAGATAATTGTTTTAACCATGGTTTGCTGAGTGAACTGTAATGGGTGGATTCACATTACATTGTCCAAAACCAAACATATTAAGTCAAGGTCTGAACCTAGTCAAAAGCAGCAATGGAAGACCAGTGTATCTGGTGTACTGTAAAATATGAAGCATCTCAATACCACACAAAAAATAGAGAAGACTGAATGCATTTTAATTCCAGAAATTTTTGAGCACTGAAACAAACACAAAATTCCTGCACAGGCTAACTTCCCTTTCATTTCAATGGCATATCTGTGTGTAAACAAATCCGTTTCTCCTTTTATATGAATGGCAAAAGTTCTGAAAGGAAGGGATTCTCCATATAGTTGAAGCCCTTATATGTGTAATGCATCTTTGAATCAGTGCATACTATATTGTTAGAGTATGCACCTTGTGATAAGGGCCATCATTAACATCTAATAAATACAGTCTAGAATTTGAAAATATAGTTCAATATTATTCTGCCATGCAGAAAATGCTATTTCCATAATCATCTTTCATTTTTCTGTTTTTTATTCATTTACAACAAACAACTTTTCATGCCATAAAAATTGCGCTAGACAATAAAAACAAATGCTATTCCATTTATATCTATTCTGTTAGGGAATAGATTACTAGAAAAACCAACAAATATTTGTATACAATTCTTTTGTATTAATCTAAGAAAACAGTATTTAAAACTAGAACAGTTATAAACAAACAAATTCTTGACTTGAAACTTAAGAGCTTGAGCGATAAGATACAAAAGGAAACTTTGGCAGTTACCTCCACGTCACTTGATCTTGACCGTTACTCTTTTGGGCTTGCTAGATGGACTTGACAAGGGCCGTAGAACCAACCAAATCAGACTTGGCTTTGACTTTGGAACTCGTGCAAATGTCGGAAAGCCGAAGCCTTAACTTGGTGTTGTGGCTTTGTCTTTTTCCTTGAAAAAGGACTTTCCCTCTTCCAGTTTTCTTTTTATCTTTTTCCACCCTCCCTCTTTATTCCTTGAAGCTTGAACTTTAAGGTGTCTTTTGGCTTGCCTGCTTGGACTCTATCTAACCGGGTTCATTCAAACTTTGGGGTGCTTGCCAGCCACTGTGGACTGCTTTACATTTTCTGAGACAAAGAAATAAATACATTAAGTTAGGATGCAATAACAACAATGCACCGCAATAACAATACAATGAAATAAAGGATATTGTATATAAGCAAATCCTCGTGGGCGTCTTGTGTAGAAGTCAAGCGGAATGTATACGTCTACTACAGGGCCATATCGACCAAATTCACGGCGCAAATCCTCAGGCCTGAAGTGTTTTAGAAATAAGGTAAAAAAACATGAGTGTTTCTATATAATGGCACCTGGTACCTATGAAATGTTTTCTATGTTTTAAAATATTAAAGAAACACTTTGTATAATCCTAAGATTTTTTGTGGTATTTATTCAAAGTTTAACCATTTCTTTGGCTACTTGGGGAAATCATAGTTGGCAAATGTTGAGTCCTTTCAAATATATGATCATTATACTAAACAAGAAGAGACAGGAACCTTTAAAACCTCCCTTAAGCTTGATTTTTCTAGTAATGGGCAATTTTCATCTGTGACTGTTATGTGAAGAGGTGAAACAGTTTAGGCAGATAAATGCATGACAAAAAGGCCACAAGCAAGAATATTTCAAAGTTTTTATCCCTTTCTGAAACCACTATCATACATAGTTCTCTTATCAAACCTAAGGAAAGAATACAATTTGGCCTGGTAGATTAATAACCAGGATTTATGAAAGAACACTATGGGAAAATGAAAGGAGACCTTTTTTCCTCACAAATATAGCAGTAGCTGAACATGCAGTCCTACAATTAAATGATTCAGAAAAGAGAAAATACAAACTTCTTCACACAGTTACAAGAACTCATAAAGATGATCATGCACATATAGCAAACTGAATAAACGGGGTTCAGAGGAACATTACACCTACTGAAGGACCCATACTAGTTAGTAATTAGGAGCTGTATTTGTACAATACATTTAATTAGATTAGTTATAAACTTAATGACTGCAGTGCAGTACAGAGATTAAAGTGTTAGATTAGCCCTGGGGAGAGCCAGGTTAAACTTCACCTTCACCTTAGAATCTCACTGGGTGAGTTTGAGCTAGTTATCCAGATCAATCTAACTCATATCCAAAAATTGGATGAGAGAAAGCTATATATAAGCCACCTTGAGACCCTGGAGAAAAGATGGGATATGACACATATAAATACATCTGCACAATGTGTGAACTTTAGTTATTGGGCTGTTGTTGTTTTTTTTTTGTTGTTTTTTTGAGTCTTGGTGGGGGAAGGGGGAAGAGTTGGTTTAACCTATTTTGTTAATTTATGATGTAATAAATGTGTGGTGCGTGAACTCAGAACGTGGTTAATTCAGTATCCAAGAAAACTGCGGTGTGCAAATACAATCATGGGGTAACTAGTGGAATTGAGTTTTTTGCTTCTATGATTTCAGATTATACAACTGAATAACTAGGAATTAATACAGATCTCTGATGATCCTATTTACATACTGCCATAAGTATGCTCATAACAGTATTTCCTAAGTACAGTTTGATTCATTGCTTATTATTTAAGTACAATAAATAAAGAGGGAGTATCTGTGCATCAAACTACATGATACCTCAAAATCATAGCTAGCTAAGCTACATTTGGAGAGTTCAAAAGAATGGGGGTACAGTTCCAGATTAGAATCTTAGCAGGCAAATTTTAAACTTTTATTCCTATGGCAGCCATGATCCAAATCAGTTTGCCTTGCCCAAAATTAATCTGTTTGTGTCAGTGGAGCATTTCTTGATGATGCAAATTGCTGGTGCAAAGGGGCTAATCTAGACTGCAACTGCACTGTGATGTAAAACAATAAAAATGCTCTGCCCCACTGCTAAGCTCTCAGCCAAATTGAATTCTCCCCAAACTTTTTGTGAACAAAGAAGAAAAGTGTAACTGCTTATTTCATCTTTAAAGAAAGAGGCAGTTTAATTCTGAAACTCTGTTAACAAAGGAGGAATTTGATCATTCCTTTGGAAAAGAAATCCCAGAAAGCCCCCATGTACAAGCAGAATATGCCTTAGATCCTAAATTCCTGTGAGAGTATCTCTCCTCACAGAATATTCTCACCAATAGAAAGGTGATACAGTACAGTAATGAAAGTGATCATATTCACTGTCCTAGTTGTTTTCATTCCACCCTTTTCCTACAAAAATCCTGCTGCAGAAAGAAACCTGCTATATCAGCAACAGGTAAGAACTCACTAAAAATCATTCTTGGTTTTTCCATCAGTGGGAGCTTCCACAGCATCATTTTGTTTGTATATAGGCAACCTATAATTTAGAGATCCATTACAATGAAAACAAATTCAGTTAGAGAAGTTTCCTATTCCCAGACAAATGACTAAGGCCCTTTCCCTACTAGCACCTAAACTACAACACAACATGCCCTTTCAGCATCCTTCTTCTATCAGATGCTGCCTTCTTCCCTGATGTTGCCTTCATCCATGAGCAAGATAAACTTAAGCCGCTCTTGGCTGTAATGCCAAAGGAATGTTTTTCCTCCTACTCTGATATCATCCAAGACCAGCTTTATCACATTACCTTGGAGGCAAGTCAGGGGACTGTAGTGAGTTGAAATAGAGGTTATAAAGGCAGGATATGGTTTAGCAATGGTGACAGCAGATTTCATAGGGGTGTAGTTTTCTGTTAACTCAAGGATGAATGGATAGCACTTCAGTAGTGGCAAAAGAACTATGTCAATACATTCTAGTTCCATTCATAAAATATTTTTTTTATATTTATTCTCAGAGGTGTGCAGTATTTAGATCTGGACAAAGGTGCTTCAAATTTGATGTGTGCACACTCTCTGTATCTCTTGGTAGCTTTTGAAAAGAGTCACAGTAGCAGTGCAGGTTCAGGAAAATATATGAATTCAAGAGGCTTGCAAAAGCAACAAGGTGTGCTGCCCTGTCACCACCTCCCTACCTGAAACACATATTGTCCTGAGCTTATACATCTACCCAATAAGCCCAGGAAAAAGTGTGGTTCCTTTAACGGGCTAGTGACAGGTACCAAGAAGATGCTATGCTAGATCCAAAGCACCTTTGCCTAATTTGGATTCAAATGTTGTACAATCCATTTATTCTGTTCTCTTTTTAGGAACTGGGAAGACAGGATAAATATAAAAACTTTTCGACAAAGATCTCCTATGTGAAAAAGGTATTTTAAATATGTTGTTTACTATATTCATTTTTGAAACGATAAATCTAAGAAGGTAAAGAGGCTCAGCCCTGATTAGTATTTGGGTGAAGGACAATCCTGGGAATCTCAGGGCTGATGACTAGAGTGGGGAATGAATGAATCTCTCTCTCTCTCTCACACACACACGGGGGGGTGGGGGGTGGGGAGAGAAGACAATAGCAAATAATTTTGGTAACACTGCCAAAAAAATTGCATGGATGCAATCACCAGGAGCTAAACTCAGTTTGGGGGCATCTTTACCATGTATATTAAAAATAGTAACTGATGCTGCTAATTTAATCAGGGCAGTACCTATTCAGTTAAAAATTGAAAATTAATCTATTTGATACTGATGAGACACTGTAGATCATTTTAGACACTGTAGATATACTGGAAGTAAGATGAGGACAAGAATCTTATCATTTAACATGACAAGGCTGCTTAGCCATTTTCAAAACACACCAAGGACTGACACCTGTACAAACAACTGGATGCAAAAATTTTGCCTCTTAATAGGCAGGAGAGAATTTCAGCAAATACAATCCACCTCCAAATCATAATCTGCACATCTCAAAATTTACAGTACCTACCTCATATTTAAAAAAAAATTACAGAAGCCTAATCCCCATTTGCATCATTATGTTATATGACAATTAAACCTCAGGCCTGGAGTTAATAATATCAAAAGAAGAGGAAGGTGAGATTGAATCCACAGCATGCAGTTCAAGATCTCATACAACAGACCAGCTAAAATTATATGCTTATGGTTTGTGGTGAAATAAAATACCCAGATTCACCATCTTGTTATGACAATTATTTCAGTTGATTTCTTTCAAGAATTTTTACTCTGCTCTTTAGTGAGAGAGATGGGGAAAAAACCTAGGCTTACTTTTCAAAATCCTTATGTGGTTTATAACCTTCAATGCACAGCATCAGAGGCAATCTTGAGTTGATACTTAGAATCAGGCAGCTTAGTTCTACTTTCCCTAACCTGATGGCCTCCAAAAATGTGGGGACTGCAACTTTCAGATTTCCCAAAGGCCACATCTGGTAGGAAAACTGAGAGCTGTAACCCGAAAACATCAGGATGGCATAAGATTGCGGAAGATTACCCTAGATGATATTAGCCATCAGATGATAAATGAAAATTTTCAGTCCATATGTTATTCTCAGAATGGATAACCACATTGTTCACACTAAAAGAAGTGAATGTAAACCATCTAATGCAATCCACAGATCCTGCCAAATCCTTCCTGAGAGTTTACACAGACATCAGTTATATTAACCTTACCCAAACTGCTAGTACTTCGATACCCATAATTCCAACCAGTCTGGGAATATGGGGACTGTAGTCCAACACCTCTAGGTGGCTCCAGGTTGCAGAGGCTGAATTATATACTTGGTCTACACCTTACATTTCACTCGAAGCACACTGGGAAGATACCTAAATCTATGAAGGTCTCCCAAATTTGGGACCAACATGTTGGGGGCATGCAGCTAGGTCCCCCCAGAGAAACATACTGCTATGGAGATATAAAAGCAAGTTGCTTTTCCAAATAGGAATTAATTCAATTTGTTGTCCCCTCAAAGCAAGGCATGGGGCAGGTTTGAAGTGGGGGGGGGGGGTCCTTCTTAATCCAATGGAGAGACTTTAATTTTTTTTTCTAAAGTATACCGTGCTTTTCTACTTGTGGCATTCCAATACTTTTAAACATCCAGTAACGTTTTTAAAAAAGAAATAACAGGAAAATGAACAACGTTCTCCCTGGGATAGGCCCCAGCGGCCTCGAGAAGCAAAGCTTCGCCCAGTAGGTTAATTTTCGGTGCATATACTAAATGCATAGACGTCGGGGGGATTAAAAAAACCAAACCTCGAAGATGACGAGAGCGGCGCTTTCTCCCCCGTCCCTAACTCAGGCCGCTCTTTTTACGCTGGGCCCAGCCCTGTCGCTGGCCCCAGCCCCGCTCTCCCAACGGGAAGCGACGAGCACCGATCTTCCGAGAGGCCCACCGCGCTCCCGCGGCCACTCCCAATATCCGCAGGGCCCCCCCCCCCCACATCCCCCCCCGTTGCCTGCCCCCCCCTCTTGACGGG